TGTATAAAGGGTAACAAACCAAGGGGAGACATATTTCAGAAGTTGTTTGATTTTGCTACCAGGTTCCAATTTTGCATTATTTGTTTTTTTTTTTTACTTTTAATTTTTCTTTTTCTTAGTATTTGCTGCTAACGCTACATGCTCTCCTCCTGAAGATGATGCACTTTGTCTTGTCTTCAGGGTTTAACCTTGTTTCTGCTATTGACTGAGTTTCTACTAAATGTACTCTCTTTTAACATCCAGATTTGAATATTGATGCAGAGTTCATCTTCTTAGCTGTACCTTACCTCTTCTGCTGGAGGCTTCTTCCAGCTAAAGAAAAGTTTTTCTTTCCACTATTGCAACATGCATGCTTAGTTAGAGGGATTGTTGCAGAAAAAGAGTGCAGAGAAACATATAATATTATAAAAAAATATATATATTTTTTTTTTTTCCTTTATTAGGGCAGTGCAGTATAACGTTTAAAGCTTCTGTCCTTGTCCTGGTACATTTTCACTTTTTACAAATGTGTTTTAAACAGCAGGGTTTATACTTCTACTTGAGTCATACACATAAATACTTTTGATACTTGTTAAAGGAAAGCTTTGTGTCTACACTTGGAAGCTTTCTCTCTCTGGTTCATTTTCCTGAAAAGAGATCACTTGGGACAAACTCCTTAAATAACACCTGATAACGTATATGTATTAAATAACCAGGAGATTTGACAACAGATTTTGATAGAAATTGTAATCTTACTCAGATCAGAGAAGTTGCTTAGGGTTACAGAAGGCAGCTGCTTACCAGCTAGGCTCACTTCAAGGGAAGTGACCACGATTAGCAGTTAAAGAAGCATTTTATACAACTCCAGTCTGTCACATCATCACAACATTACATCATACACCTTAACAGATAAGGAGACATCCATGGCTCCTGCCTTCATAAAATATTACACTTTGTTCTTAGCTGAAGGACACCCCTCTCATTCCATTCCCAAATCTTTGCCCTGTACAGAATGAAGATTATAACTGTATATAGCCGGACAGAGGAACTGGCCTAGTTGGATTAACTACTGGGGAAAACATCAGTTGTGACACGCAACAGGCAGGTAATATTAGGGCGTTATAAACTCACACATCATCAATGATAATTATCCTAACACACCTCTCTGCAGAAATAATGAGACAATGCATGCAACTGCTGCTGCTGCAGAACCAGTTCTCAGCAAAGGACTCTGCGTTTGTCTGGAAAGGGCGTGGACATATCACAAATTACAGGCCTAAACCCCCCCCCCACTTTATGAACGACCAACGCTTTGCCAATGACCTGAATGACTTCTACATTCGTTTCGACAGACAAAGGGACAGTCCTGCAACCCCAACCATGACACCTCCCCCACCTTAGCTGGGGCCTGGACACCTCTTGCAATACCCAACTTAAAGACCCAGTCCTCCTCCCCTCCGCCCACCTCAGTGAAAACTTTTTCCATAAACGAAAGAGATGTTATTAAACTCTTTAGAAAACAGAACATCCAGAAAGCTGCTGGACCACATTCTGTCTCTCCATCCACCTTGAACCACTGTGCTGATCCGCTTTCTCCAATGTTCACAGACATTTTTAACACCTCACTGGCGACATTTTACGTGCCAACCTTCTTCAAATTCTCCACTATTATCCCTGTTCTCAAGAAGCCAAGGTCCGCAGGACTCAATGACTTAAGACCCATCGCCCTGACCTCTGTGGTTAGGAAGCCCTTTGAGCGCCTTGTCCTGAAAGAGACTGACCCCTCATGGATCCCCTACAATTTGCCTACAGAGCCAACAAGTCTGAAGACGACATTTTCAACTTGGCCCTTCACTACATCCTTCAGCACCTGGATTCCTCAGGTACCTACGCCAAGATCCTGTTTGTGAACCCCAATCTCCTGAGTTCCGTTAATAGAAAATACTTTAACCAATCTGTTTGAATTTTCTTAATAAATTGCTTTGAGATGAGATATATTGAATTGGTGCCATTTAAATAATCTGAATTAAACCCGTAAAGTTTGTTTACATACATGTATAAACATCCTTAAATAACTGTTGAAGGTTATTTTGGAAGTGTAATTTACATCCATCCATTTTCAGACATACTTAATCCCGAGTCGCGAGGGGTGCTGGTGCCTATCTCCAGCTGTCTACGGTTGAAAGGCGGGGTACAGCCTGGACAGGTCGCCAGTCCATCACAGAGACAAATAGGACAAACTACCATTCACGCACTCACTCACACCTAAGGAGAATTTAGAAAAGCCAATTAACCTAACAGTCATGTTTTTGGACTGTGAGAGGAAGCTGGAGTACCCGGAGAGAACCCACGCAGAACATGCAAACTCCTTGCAGAAAAACCCCTGGCCGGGAATCGAATTCGCAACCTTCACTGCGCCACTGAGCGGCCCAGAACGTAATTCCAAACTGAAAAATAGTTCTCATCATATATTTAAATGTCTTAAGATGTAATTTGAGAAAATATCCATGTATCTTAAATGAATCTAGAAATATTTCTTAATTAGATAATTTCTTTTGTTTGCTTTTAAAAAGTATTTCCATAGTGTAAAGAGCAGGTGTTGTTGTTTGCAAAGATTACCTTTTACTTCTTGTCCACTGTAGAACTCATTTTTATTATTCTCTTTGTTAGCTGGAAATATGGTTTAATTTGGGTCAATAACGTCGATCAGCAGTTACTTTACTAAAATACTTCTTTGCTAAGACTAAAAATATTTGTCAGTGAGGCCACTTTTATTTTGATTTATTATCACACATTTTAAGACGCTTTTCCTCATAAACACATCATAATTAAGCTAAATACAGGTAATTTGTTTAATACCAGTTACGTGCAATTACCTCAATATGTCAACTAAGTCGGATGGTCCAAAGAAATATGGACATAATGTTCCACATTCTACATATTTAGGTACAGAGAAGCTAAATAACATGATCAGCAATAAATGTAGTATAGAGCAAGTTAATTACTACCTCTCATATCAACATTTTCCATCGCACCGTGTGGGAGGTTGTGTTTCGATGTTTCTGCTCTTCATCTGAGCCTTTTTAACCATCTAATCTAAACAAGATTTGTGAAGATACCCACTCATCCATCCCTGTGTGTGGGAGGAAAGGTCCGGAGCTGCACGCCATCCCTGGACTGCTGATGGAAAAATGATGTGTATCCAACTTGAGCTTAAACAGGTAGAAAACATAGAAGTAAACCAAGGCTGAGAAGATTAGAAGGATTATGAGTGTTGATATTTAAGCAGACAGAGATGGTGAGAAGCAGCAGACCTGTTAGGGGTGGTAGTCAGAGGAGACATCTTATTCTGAATTTAGAGGAACTGAAACTGATTTACAGGTAAGTTCTCTGTTAATGCAGGTTTAAACTGAATGCATTTGAAAATGTTGTGTTTCCGCGATAACAGACACAGCTGACTTTGATTTGCAATAATTATACAACTTTTTGCTGGAGAACCTTTGGAAAAAGTTGCTTTCTCATTAGTTTATATTTCAAACTAAACATTTCTCCACAAATAACAAAAAAAATTTACCAAAACATGTTTTACAGATTTAATTTAATATGGTGAGTTTATAGGAGGTAATATGGGTTTCCAAGAAAAAATATTGTTCAACTAATTGATTCTTTTTACTTATCAGTTATCTGTTCTTTTTATTTAAACATCCAGTTTAATTGCAGTTGTTCAGTGGAAAATTTAGAAGCCCATAATGAGAAAACATTTTCACTCCCATTTTAAAGGTTCATGAATCTTATCATCCACTACAGCCAATGCAAATTTATTTGTTATTATTATTATTATTATTGGTTAATACAGAGGTCAGTTTTGCCTGTATTCATGAATATTTTTCTTGAAAGCACAGGAATCACAAGCTTTCCAAAATAGTTCAATTTGACAGATCACCTCATATTTTCCTTATATTCTTAAATAAAAACAGCCAAAAAAATGGTGATTGAATCCTTTTTTTTTTTTTTACAGTGAGTCCATCTTTATTTAATTAGATTTCAGTTTGTTGCTAAGAAGTCCAAACAAAAATGAGTATAAAAGTAGTTAAATGCAGATAATTTCTATTTATCATTAAAAACTCTTAAAATAGGATTAACTCCAAGTGGTTTTGTAGGAGACGGCCATGTGTTCCCACTGATAATCTTTGGGTTTGGCCCCCAAACCAAATGCCAGAATAGAATTTTGGAGTTTTATCATACTTTCTTGGTATAAATTACATTTATTTAAAGTAATTCTAACTTTACTTTAAGGATAAAATAACTGTTCTACTTTCTTTACAAATGTATTTTGTTATTTTTTTGTACAATGTATTTTGGGTTATATATGAACTCCTTTAACAACAACCTCGCTAAGCAGGGAAACTGAAGGATGAACCAAAGGTTCAAACACTGAGTTGGGCGCATGAAGAGGTGACAAAAAAACTATTCGGACCACATTGAGGTGCAATGATGGGTACATTTACATGTGAAGTAGGTTTAGAGCAATGTAATCCTACCTTGTTGTTTTCTCTGACAAAAGTTCCTTTTAAGGCCATTTCTGTGTTCTGGAGAGAATAGCTTTAAATTAATTTAGAATATATTTTAAATATTCATTGTTTATTTATAAGAAATGTTACTTTTTTTGCTGCATCTTAACTATTTTTTTATTTTTATTTTTTTCTGATATGCTGATATACATTATAATATTTAATCAAAGCTAAAACTTTCCTCTTGGATTATTCTTTTCTCAACATTTAGTAATTTTAAACAAAGGGCCACATTCAGGTCCCTCCGATGCTGCCACATACGACACAGCAAGGAACAAATGTTTTCATTTATTTATTGATTGATATCCCTTCAGGAAGTAAAAATCCATAAAGTTTTTAAAAAGTCAGACAAAGGATGCTTCTGTTCCTTTTTCAGTTTTGTAATGTATGAATCTCTGGCCCAGTTGAAAGCATCTCATGCAGGACCTCCTCTGCTCCTGCAGCAGGCATCTGTGCAACACCTGGCAGAGGATGCAGTTTGTTGTCATGGCGGTAGTACTGTCTCTGGCAGAAATGGGATGCTTCAGCTGCTACCTGAGAAACGTTGGCATCCCAGTGAAGGGATGCAACCAGACGGTGTGCGTCCAAACAAAAATGTGCGAAGGGCTGTGCTACAACAAGGTAAAGAATGATTCAAGCTATAAACATGTGAAGCTTCTGAGTTACGTTCATACCAGTTATATGCAATGATTAGGAAAATATTAAGGTCAGAGTTATTCACCTTTAGGTTGTAACTTTGCTGAACTAAACTCTGGTGATATTTCATAGAGGGGAAAAAACAACTTACTGTAGTAATAAAAAATATTTATGACTTTTTCTGTCAATTCAAAAAACCTTAAACAATAAATCCCACTGAACTGTGTTTAAATATTCAGTCTTTACTCCCTGTTGTTAATGGTGACAGGACTCTGCCATTGAAATCAATCATGTGGCGCCTGAGCATGAGATCTGCAATGGGGAGTGGACCTACGCAGAGAAACACGTCGACGGATGTCCGGAAAGCATCGTCTACCCTGTGGCCACAAAATGCAATTGTACTACATGCAACATAGAAGACACAGAATGTAGCCGCGTTTACTCACCCATGGAAACATGCACTTAAAATCTGTGTGTCTCTTTGCCTGACACTGAAATAAAACAAGATACTGCTCGTTTTTCTGTTTATTTTTTCTTTATGGTTTTAAAGTTCCCTAAACCAGAGTGACTGTCCTGGTGCTTTGTCATCATCAGAGAGAAGATATTAAACGTCCAACCTGCGCTTTCACCTTTTTCTCTCGAACAAGGTGAACGATCCTGAAAGTACAGTAATTCTGCTGGTCAGTTTTTCATTCTGGGAAAATGGTACAAGAGAAAATAGAAAAAGGCTTGCCTCTTTTTGACAAGTGGAAATGAAAATATACGGCCTGCAATATTTCTCAAAGACTGTTCTTCCCTGACCCTCCTCCAGGGGCACCGCTAATGCAGAAAAAGCTTAGTAAGCAAAAATAAAGAAATAAATTAAATACATCAGCTCAGACAGTCTCTGGGAGATAACACTGCTTTGGTAGATTTTTATGCTTTGCAGAAAATAAGCTCATTTTCACTCACTGTAACATAATAGAGCCAGTTACAACTCTAAAAGTTTAAGATAAGTAAATATTATGAGATGTTTTTTTATGAAATGATGAATAAAGCGGTTGGATTATTTACACTGTGGCCTTATTGAGTTTTTACATGTTTTCATGTGTCAGCAGGAGAGTTCATAACTTCTATTAAGTTTGGAATATTTTGCTTAAATTTTAAAACCATAAATACCTTTTTATTCCCAACAACATTTTGGATCATCCTAAAACTGATTTAGATTAAAGCAAGTGGGGTATTTGTTAGACATTTGACACTGTTAAAGTTTAGTGAAGCTATTTATGTACTACAGCTTTATGTTTGAGACCAATAATACCCATTAACATCTAATCTATGTGTGGCAGCATGTTTAGAGCTTGTTTTATGTCATGCATTTAGGATTGGTTGTTTTAATTCAGCATGATGCTAACTCAATGTTGATTGGAAAGGTGTGGCAAATACAACCGGTCACTGTGAGGGAGGCAAATACAGTGTCTTGGAAAGGTGTCCATATGCTTTAAATTGTTTGCATTTTGTGACAGTAAAACCTCAAAGTTCATCAGAGATGTAGGTGAACATGTAGGTAAATGGATATCAAAGATCCACATGTGCAGAGAGAGTAAATGCAATTCACTGCTATATATTTCGACTAAAAGTCTGCAGACAAACATGAAGGTATACCTTAGCCAACAGGCAGAGCAATAAGAGTTGCATGGAAACTCTTAAATAGCTGCAGTGATTTGCAACTTATGAAGGGAAACCTGCAAGTACCACGAATGCTAGACATGTTTCTGAATGTATAGAGATACTGATGCCAGATGCAAACATGAGTGAAGCATGGTGGTGGCAGAATCATGGTTTGGACACTTTTCTTATGGTTTTATATTCTAATACCGTTTAACACTCAGTATTTACTTATATTATATAACCTTTAAGGACATCACTTTTCTTTTATCCAACAAGGGATGAAATCAACAAATTTTTGAACACACAAGTGTACAGCATATTGGATGTGTAGTGATGACTGCAGTCAATATTTGCACAAAAGTGGAGATCGGGAGTGGATAAAAAGGTTGCATAAGCAAGTCTCCATCATTTGAATCTTCTTTGTTTAGTTTTGTTTATTTGTTGAGACTGACGCTGGAGAGCCTGCAGAAAAAAGCTGACCAAAGCTAAAGAGAAATTCAGCAGGTATAGATAATGACCTATCCCTTAGAATATATATGGTAAAAAAAAAAGAAGGTGTTATTAAATTGTTTTATTTATTTGGTTTAATTATTGGTAGAGAGTGGGTTTTAAAGCTCAAAATATGCCTCCCAGTGTTTACCCTTCTTTCATTAAATTAAACTAACTTATTCAAAGCCCTGGAGGTAAAGTTGGAATTCGATCTCTGTTTCTGTAATTAGGTGCAAAAAAATAAAATACGACTTGTTCCTAAATCAATGCCAACTTCTGTATAATTAGCAGTTTTTCTGCCAGGAGCACAGCAGTCTGAGGTTCCAGTGATGAGATAAGCAGCTGACAAACCAACAAGCATCAGCGATTACAAATTAATCCCACAGTTTCTGCCAAACGCCGGAAGGACAAATGCAGGTGGATCAATGATTTTTAGGGAAAGGTTTAACTTTTTGCTTAGAAGCGTTGCCTTTCCATCATGTTTTCAATGCATCAGACAGATCTTATAGTAATCTGTGCGTACTTTACTTTATGATGGGGGAAAAAAGCCTTTTCCGAGTGTAAAGTGCTTTGGGACTTTGTGTTTTAAATGCACTTTATAAATAAGCATTATTTATTTCCAGAACTGTGCCATTAAGAATCAGGGAAATGCCAATGAGCAAAGCTTTTAAGAGCATCTTTAAATGGTTACTTATTTGTATGTGAACAAGTGTCTGAGAGAGAGAGACCTTCCTACAAACATCAACTTCTATCTAAACATTGAAATAAGGAGTCCAAACAGAGGGATTGATGAGATGCTTAAGCATATTGTTGAAAAAAGAAATTCTTTCTCAGGATTTAACTGTGAGGAAATTAGAGACTGATAAAAATGTAAAATATCAAAATAACTTAAATATTTTGAGCTTTTTAGTCAGCTACACCCATTTCCCGTTTATGCAATCATTGAACTGATCTTAAACAATCTGCCAGTAAAGAGAGAATAAAAACTAAACGAGTCATAAATTTGATCTCTAAAAATGCTAACATTTTCAGAAAATAATCTTAACATCTTCGGTTGTTTTTTTAACATCATACCCACTAATAAAATACTTTTTTAGAAAAGGAATGTTTCCAATGATGTCAAGAGATGAAATAAAATGATCATCAGTATCAAACCAAACCCTAGCAGGCAGTGAATAAGCGACATTTAGCCATGATGGTGATGGCTTATGTTTCAGCCTCTCACTGTGTCTCCTCTAACATTTACAGCTGGGAACCAAGTGTATCTGCTGACAGGTTGATGTTTGCTCAGGTTGTCAGTGTCTTGTTATAGCCGTTTTGTTTTTATCCAGACAGATCCCTGGAGGTTTATATTAATATACTTAAATAGATGTTTTATCAAGTTTTATACACGGGTCAGTCACTGTGTCATCTCTGCTGGAGGGGAGAAATTAACTTGGATTAAGTTTTCACAGACTGAGAACAACAACTTTAGTAAAGTATGAGTCCAAGTTTTATATTTTTGACTCAAACCGCCAACTATAGATGATTGGAACTTTTTTGTAATGTTAAGGGGCAACCCAAAAACCACAGCTGATGATAGATGATCGTGATGATTATCAATAAAAATGACGCTTCTCTGTTTTCTGTGTTGATCTATTTTCTTTGATCCCTGGATGAGTCAGACAGGAAGGCTTTCGTGCAGAGGCGTATTCTGCTGGAGGCTCCTTCCTGTTTAAAGCATCTTCCTTTCAGGGCCGGTTCGGGGCATAAGCAAGCTCAGCTTAGGGTTCAAGGGCAACTAGTGACCCAAAGGAACAAGTAATTGTTTCTGATTTTCTTTACATGAATAATGATTTCTACATAAAATAGTAAATTGTATTTTTTTTTTAACAGGGTCCTGTTTGGGAATGTGGCAATAAGAATAATTGTCTTGATGCCAAAAAAAACCAACAGATTTTACTTTCACAAGTTGAGCAGTACAGCTTTTGCCATAGTGCTCCGCTTGATTTATGCATGTAAATGGCTTTACTATAATTATGCAGGGAGTATAACAGATTATATGGACACTGCAATGTAAGTAGAACAGGAAAATAAAAACAGAAAAAGGGAGAAAAGATAAAAGAAAGAGGAGATAAAAGAGAGATAACGATAAAACATCTTCAGTCTGCTTCATCACCTGCAAAGAGATGTAAAAAGAACAGCACAACTAACAGACATGGTACAAGACTTAAAATAAAGTAACACTTTGATACTTTCGCTGAAGTATAAGTACGTAGTAAAAGTAAAAAAACAGAAATAACTATTGGTCTTGGGGTCAGAATGACCACAGATGAGGAAGGACTTATTAGGCTTCTCCAATAAAAACTTTCAAAATATCTTTGGAGAACAGTCTGATAGTGATGAGATATAATTGGTTTCAGAGATGGAAAAGCTTCCAGAGATACCAAAGCAAAAATGACCTAATTTACTCCCTTTACTCTGAAATTTAAATCTGAGTTCTACCTTAAATCTTTGGGTCGCTCTGATGATGGCCTGCTCTCACCCTCTGACTGTAGCATCTGCAGAAAAGAGCTCTTTCAAACTCACATTTATAGAAAGCTACTTAAAAACCTCTGTGGGAGAAGAATGATCATTTGACTGGCAGTGCTTAGTAATAGTATCCATAGAGTTGGCTAACAGATCTGTTATGTTGATGTCATCACTGTATGCAAACAGAACAGCTAGGAAGCAAAGATCTGAGGGAGTGATGGGAGGGTATGAAGAAGTACATAAAAAAGTCATATATGGGTAAAGCTAGTTTTATTTTTCCAAAAGAACTTCTCTACATAATTACATACATTTACAGGGTGTAGAGCTAATCATTCAGTCGTCTTTCTCCCCCGGTAACTTCATTCTCATTATTTAAGTGCATGCTTGATACTTCATTGATTATTTGATGTAATTATGTCTGTTTTAGTACAATTTAGTTATATTTATCAAAGTTATTTTAATGATCTTTTTGTTTAGTTTATTTTTTCACTTTATTGTTGCAGTTTGAACCCCAAAATATAAATAACACAACACTTCTACAGTACATAAACTGCATTCTAATTCATTTTAGTTCTTATGATGCATACAAATAGGGGACTGTAAAAAGCAGCCCTAGAGCTGCAATGAATTTATAATAGGTGTGTGAAAGATCTGATAATCAGACTGCAGACATGCATATTATTGGCAGAAATACAGAAGCCCAAAATCAAATATTGCTCAAGGCCTCATGGAGATTTAAGCCCTGCTTCCTTTCCACTGTCACATATAAGAATAGGCTTAAATATCAATTATTCAAATCAGTAAGCTAGGATAGCTGGTAAGAAATAGAAACTTTGATCAGAAGGTATTATACTGTAAACTGAACTTAACTGGATTGTTGTATATTTTACTACTGTTTAGATCAATTTATGCAGTAAATTAAATATTTACATAAAAGCTGCATTGGGCAAAAACTCTATTTATCTTTGTGGAAATTCTTGCCTGATATAAAAGTGCTACCTAATGAAGATACAAAAGAAAAAGTTAAGAACACAAATACTTTCTGACAGCATAATACTTCTGTATATAAGCCTAGTTAATAGAAGGTAGAAGACAATTGCAAGAACTCCAAATATCCAAGCAGAGAGTTGATGATAGAAAAAGTGTTGAGAGGCGACTTGTTATTTGTGTAATCAATGTTGCATCAGCATAGAGTACATGGGTACTAGTCAATAAATTAAAACCAGTGCAAACATTTTCAATGTCATAAATTAGAGGTTTGATGCTGTATAATTTCACCAGGTTCAGATAACTATTTGAAAGTTCAAAAGTGATTATACAGTCATGCCAATGATGGCTGTAGGCAAACAACACTAAAGCTGATTCAGCTAAATACAAACTCAATGTTTTTTTTTGCAAAAATCTTTCAGACTCATAGAGGTAACCAGATATTATTAGAAAAATTCAATTAAAAAAAGATGTTTTCCCCCTAAAGCAGTGTTACTAACGTGTGGAAGGATCCCAGTCAGGAACTTATGATTACTTTGTTTATAAATATATAATTAGGTCATAAAATAAAAAAAAACATAACTTTTGTTTAAACATATTTAATATAAACACTAAATATTGCTCTATAATACCTTCCAACTCTCCTGACTGAAACCAGGAAGTATGTTCAGTGATGAACAGAGCTACTGTTGCTGTGATGAATGACTTGTTTGTATCGACTCGCCCTCAGCATTCATAAATATTAATATGTTTAATTTATATGTGGCCGCTGTATGATGAGGTATAAAACGCACTTGCCGCAGGTTATAAATGGCAAAAAGCGAACAGAACCGCAGCACTGTTCTGTTACTTTATGGAAAGCTGACTGCACACATTTCCCCTACAACTACTTCTATTTTATTTATAAGGTGTTTAAAAAGAAATATTTCCATTTAGGTTTTACTTTAAGGCTCAGCAGCATTGTGAATTTCAGGGCTGGTTAAGCGTATTCTTTGGGAAATATCAGGGGGCGACGCCTCCCTGGACTCTTTGACACTTCACCTGCAGCCGATGCTCAGGGGCAGCAGAATGAGTATAAATGAGAAATGATTCTCAGAGGAGAGCTGTGCCTCTGAACTGCTGTGTCATCCCTTGCTGCCTTAGGTCAGAGAGAAGGGAAATGAAAAGCTATATTTTTATGTGCTGAAAACTTAAGTTATAAACTGCTTTAAGTAAACTAACGTTTTGTGTATGCTGTGCTATTGAGATCACTTTAAGCACAAGTTAAAGGGGAAATATGGTAAATACAGATTTCTATGAGGCAACATTTAACAGAATAAAGGCTGCCGTCACATTTTTTATTTCCAAAATCAATACTTTTTCAAACTAAACTATCCAGAGTTCTTTTATATTCTATTTTATTGAATGTATATACGTATAAATAGAAACTATATAGCATTTCCTTGTGAATTTATGACAAATTTGGTCATATTGAGAGAAAGGTGAGTCAGATGGATGGATAAATGCTAAAGAAATGGATGGATGAATGATAAATGGAGGGACAACTTGATGCATACTAGGGTTGCTTACTACCTTAAAAAAAGAGCAGTCCCATTTTTAGGAAATGTTAATGAAATAATTTGTTACATTTTTGTTCAACAAATGAAGTAGTTTCAAATTTGTAAAATGAAATTAATAAATGCTAACCTTGAAAAGTGTTTTTAGTTGTATTGTTTAAGGTTTTTTTTTTTTTTTTATCTACGTTGCAAATTACATCCCTTTTGTTAAACTGAGAGCTTGATTAAAGAAAATGTATTGATTCCCTTTATTTAAAAGATTCTTTTCTTTATTTAAGAACAGCAAAAAAATGAGGGAATTTTTTTTTCCAATGTAAAAGTCAGAGCAAATATCCTATAGAAGCAAATCGTTACCATATTTAAAATGAAAAAGCATTTCCAGAAATGCTTTATCATTTTCAAATTTTACATTTCAAATTGAATTTTAGTATGTATTTGCTGGGGTAAATTTTGAAAAATGAATCTCTAATGTCTTTTTCTTTTTAATTCTAATTAAGTAAAAGGATGAGCAGTGTTGAAGAAGAAAATTTAAATGCAAATAGGATGATTGATTACCAATTTCATTTATGAGTCAAACAATGCAGCCACATTCTTAAAATAAAAAAGCATTTCTGGAAATGCTTTTTCATTTTAAATATGGTAATGATGATGAAGCTGTACAGTTGAAGCTGTGAAGTTAAACTCCTTTTGAGTTGAATTGAATTCAGGAATACTTTATTAAGCGCAAAAGGAAATTAAATGCTGCAGTAACTCATAGATTATCTTTTATCCAGGTGTTGGTAGCTGTAGACAGGAAGGATCTTCTGTTGTGTAGTTTTTGTAGAAACATCCCTTGAGCTTCTAAAGGTTACAGATCTCTAGTTCAGATAATGTGAAAGGGAATAAAGATTAAGAATAAAAACATTTTTCCATTCTGTATTTTCTTCCTTCATATAATCCAGATTTTAAACATTTCCAAATATTCCCAGGATTAACCTTGAATTTGGAGGCATTAATGTTGAAACTTTGTTCATGATCACATTGAGGACAACTGTTTCTGACCTTAATGGGAAATCAACTAACTAGTTATTGTTAATGACAGTGGAATAATAACAGTGGAAAGAAATAAAAAGAAAAATTTTTATTATTACATGTTGGCATGTTGAAAAGGAGCCTTTAAATAACCTACTTTATACAAAGCATCGCACTGTAAAATGTTGCAACAAGCTGAATCATCAGAAAAATGAAGCTGCTGATTACAGATTTTCTTTTTCTGAATGAAAAATAAGAAAAGAAAAAAAATTAACAAGGCAGCTATAGTTGTTAGGTTGCAAATTTGTTCCGGATGATTTCTCCACCTTCCACCTCCACCTGCTCGTAGAGCCACTTCCGGTCGCAGCGGCACTCCACCCCGCACTTTCTTGACCCGCACTCAGGGCAGGGATAGAAGCAGCCCATACAATCCACATCCAGGCAGTCGCACATGTCTTTGCCGTTGGAGAGCAGCCGGCCCTTGCTGTCGTACACTCTGCTTTTGGCTGCGATGCTCTGCCTGCATGACACAGATTTAAAGGTGACGAGATGTGGTCTGTTCCCTAAGATGCAACGATCTAATTCCATTTTCTTGAAGCCTCTTCCTTCCCCCTCAGTTGCTTTCTATAATTACTTTTCCACTTGTTTTATATCGCACATTATGACAGTGTGATTTTATCACCCCAAATATAAACCGTCCCCGCGTACATCTCTGTTAGCGCTGCCAGCGTCTAACGAGGAGTGGCAATGTCAGCTAAATTAAAAGGAGTCAGTGAGGAGAGGAAAAACCTGGGGACAGTTTTGTCTTTCACTTCATTATGAAACAAGGATCAAATTCAGATGTCACTAATCTAATTAAACAAACTACAGCCAAAAGGAAAAAAAAAACAGGCTTCTGAAAACTATTAGAAGAGTTTTTTATTAATCTGGTTCGAATACAGCTGTAGTGGAAAAGTTTCCATTCTGTATTAAATTCTCAATAATAGGAAGAATTACAGCATATTTTTAATAACTTTAGAAATCTGTTCCCAGCAGCTGCATCAAGTTTCAGTTAAATGAATCAAAAAGAAAAGAAAAAGAAAAAGGGAATTAACGCAAATTTCAACGACGCTACCTGGAACTTCATGTCTGACAACCTTTTATTCCAACAATCTTTTACGCTAACAGCTGACGGATAGGGTTTATCTGTCAGCGTTTCCTCTCAATGCCAAACCTTGTCCGTTTTTATAAATGATCTAGGCTGTGAGGAGCAGGCGCTAACATTACTGCTTAGATAACGTCTCCCTGTGCATGAAGCTGTTGTTAAACTAGAAAGCCCCTTCAATGACAGACTACTGCATCCTAGATGAACCATGGAGCGTTATCGCAGATCCTTCCTCCTAGCAGCTGAAAGACTTTATAACAACCACTGTTCCCAAAAATCTCAATAAGTTGTTACATTCATGCTTATTTTTTTGCACAGTTTCCCTCTTAATGACTCAAATAACATACTGCTGTCATTTTGCACATCTTTGGTGTCGCTATTTTCCTATATCCACTGCTGTAAAAATTATTATTGAATATTTTATTGTTTATGATTGATTATTTATTGATGATTAATTCTTTGGGTGACGTAAAAGTATTTATATTTGTAAAAACACTGAACAGTACAGAGCTTTTTAAATTCTTTTAAACTGTCACTTAGGGCCGGATCTATCAAAGGTTTGTGTGTATAAAAACGTGAGCATTTCACTGCGCACGCTAAAAAATGTACAAACTGATCTATCAACAGCGTGCTAAAAGGATTTGGTCTTTAAAACGTGCTAAATAGCGCCTCTTATCCATTTAGTACTTTTTCTGCAATGAATATTCAATATTGGGCGTTTACACGCTAAAGTGCGTCTTGTGGGAGGAGAACATGTAAATATATTAATTTAGCACTCGCAAAGTGATTTATCAAACCTGAAAGCAATTTTGCTAACGGTATCTGACTCTATATTTAACACGTTTCAAAAGAAGGTGCAAATGGTCTGTATGCGTAATTGCGCACACATGGCAGCGGTTATTGTCGCAAGAAGGAGACATGGAAATGAAGCAAGGAGACGCAGAGAACGCATTTTTTCACTCCGTGTGAATATTTTTGGAATGAACGAGGAAACGATCATCAAAACATATCGTTTATCCAGCATTGACATTTTGGAGCTGCAATTCCAGTGATTTGCTCCTCACAGAGCGTCAGCTGTACTTGTTCCTCAATGCTGGTCAGAGGCATCTCATCTACTGTGCCCCCTCCTGTTTTGTTCGCAGATGTTTTGTTATATGCCAGTTTTTCTTTGGTTCACCTTCTAATATCCTGGTATCTTCTTTTTACTTCATCCACTGTTCGCAAGGTTTCACCAACAGCATTTACTTTATTACAGATTTGTTCACATATAGCGTTCCTCTGTGTGACAGTCACACTTCTTTGCTGTAGCTCACTTAAATGTTTGTTGGCTTCATCCACCAATACCTCCATTTCCATGGGGTCGAATTTCCTTTTGCGCCTTCTGCTGTCCAAACTCGCCATGCCGCAAACCACAAAACGAGCAAAACCATCATTTAAATAGGGCGTCTCCAACAGTTTTGCACCTGTCACCAGTTACGCAATCGCTCTTGTTAAATCACCCGCAAACCATGGTTCAGCCCCTCGCGCAAAATTCCAGTTTGCGAGCGCAAATTACTGCACGCAAAATTGGATCTTGATAAATCCGGCCCTTAGTCTGTTATTTTTCTGCACTTTTCAGGTCTGCATTGTGCGACCACTTTTAAAGTAATGATTCTGCTGCTCGTTGGACAACAAAGGGTTTTTCCTATTCTATTTTATTTTTTAGGGAAGGGGTTCTCTTCTTTAAGCATCAGTAAAGTAGGACAACTGTTTAAAAGCTGAGCTTAGCAACCAATGCAGCAATAGTACCAGAATGTTTTATGACAGAGATATTCTATGATGCAAACTCACTCTGAATCTTTGTGGAAATTTGCAGCCAGAAAGGATTTTAAAAGAACTGGACTGAAACCATTTGAAGAAACCAGGAGCTTCGATTCTCAGCAAAAGGGGGGAAAATGATCAGACCTAAAATAAATGTTACTTCTGAGAAGAGTCTGCATTTGTTAGTTAACATGCTAAGACAAACCCGATGTTTCCTTTGATATCAGGAGCAGGAGAAGGACAATTAACCTTCAGCTGTTGAAACTAAACTAAGAACAGGGATTACTTTTTAATGTGTCTTTCAGCCCTTCTACTTCAACTATCAGTGTAAAGACAAATAATCAGGGTCGGAGAATACACTCAAGAAAAAGAAAACTGATAGGGAAGCAGGACATTTTGATTAAACCTAAACTACTGAGGGAAATCCTTAGAGGGGCGGTGCTAAGAATATTGTGTTTTTTATCAGCTTTATATTTTAACTGTAGCAGAATGTAAAAAAAAAAAAAAAGTAGTGATCAATGTTTGTGGCAGCTGTGTTAGCTGAAGATGTGGGGTATAAAACCTGATCAGGGCTCCTTCTGATCACTTCTCTGCCACAAATGTAAAAGATCACAGTCTGTAGCAGTAACATTCATTTATGGAAATTTCAACAGAGAGTGAAACTGCTGTAAAACTATTTTACACCTGAAAGGTCCTCTGGGTTATAACTATTACTCTTTCTGTTTTGATTGGACATAAAAATGAATAACCTCCCATTTCTACAAAACTGTGTTTTAGTTGTGTTTCAGACTGTAACACAATCTAAGGTTAAAGCTGTGTGGGTCAGAGGTCACCGTTTTGTGTGGCCTTCTGGGGCCTCAGCTGATCGAGAAACAGAAATCTCAGCATTTAAATGTGATTACAAACAACACTAAACTCTCCTGCCATACAGCTGAGAGGTGACTGGTTAACATACTAAAACACCTTATTGTTGTTATGCTTTACATTTTAGTTTTATTAGAGAACAGCATGTTTCTGAATGGCAGCATAAACGTATGTTACGTTCAGACCACAGGCTGCAGAAGCAGCAGGAGCAGCTAGCTTATATGCAAAGTCAACTGTTGACGTGCATCATGGCGCAGCCAAAGGTCCCGCAGCGAGTTTGAGCAGCTAAGGCAGCACCTCACGAGCTTCTGAGTAACTGACGTGCGTGACGCGCTTCAGAAGCAGCAGCTGCTGGAGTTTTGCTGCACGATGCACCACATCAACCAATCAGAGAAGCTGATCTGGGAGCTGGCAGTGAGACAGACACAGCACTGCTGATGCAGATCGCTATGAGAACTCCTCTGAAACAGCTTATAAATTCCTAAATTGACCTAAAATGTAGAAACTTGCCAGCAACTTTCCAGTTTGGTTTGCTTGCAGTTTGGATAGCGTACGTGAAAAACACCTTCCACCTGCCGTGAACAGTAGCAGGAAACTGCAGCCACATAGTTAATGCTTCTGATCAAAGCATTTACCATCTATATTCATCCCTCTCTGACTGAGAAAAACCAAACCAGTTTTCTGCTGTTCAGCAAGTTTTAGCTCTAGTCTAGCTCTAAAACAGCCTCAGTGAAGATATTTAAAGCAGCAATGTGACCTCACCTGTCGGACAGCTGTTTTCCTCCACGGCCTCCTCGTCCTCCCTGAAACATTTGACAATCCAATAAATCAGCTCCGGGTAATGACCATGACAACTTAAGACCGATGTAAAAACAAAAATAAGGCCATCTTTTTTTGCACCATTTCAAATCACTTTAGAAGTGAACCCAGAAATTATTTACATACACTTTTTAACCTTTTGTTTCCTCAATGTTAAACAATTATCAGTATAAATAGTTCCTGCTTCATATCAACAGGATCAACAACATTATTTCCTTTTTATTTCCTCAGTTAGTAAAAGTTAGAAATGAACATATAATTAATTGACAATGCCTTTAAAAAATGTGGTAAAGCCCTGATGATGATGTCATTCCTAAGCTTTTGAAGCCGAGACACTTGTGCATTTAGAGTAGATTGTTAAAGGAATAGTACACCCAAAACATGATTAGCCTTCATTTTCTACTCACCCCCATGCTGAACAACACTCTGGAGTACTTTTTTGATATCTCAAATGCATCTGGAGATCTGGGAGGCTTCTTGCTGTCTGCTGACATTCAAATAATGGAGGTCTATGGCGCCCGAGGCAGAAAGGTCCATAAAAGTCCACAAAAAACGTGTCAATATTCCTCCATACTGCTCGTCCAATGTATTCCAAGTGTCCTGAGTGGATAGCGTCCAGAATTTACTCGAAACGAAGTCATTTAGAATGTTTTTAGAGCATAAACAGTAGTGTATAGGATTTCCTAAAAGCGCGTTCATGAGTCTACTTAAACCGCGGCAGACCAAACCAGACGAAAGTGCGCATTCAGCTCAGCAAAGAACTCAAGCTCTTCCTCAACACTGAAGTCCTCAGACATTTTTCTTTCGTTGTTTCTTTCTTTGCACAGGTAAACAGCACATTTCTTCTTCTACGCTTGCATTATCGGCAGAGCAGGCGCTGAATGCGCACTTTCATCTGGTTTGGTCTGCCGCGGTTTCCGTAGGCTCGTGAACGCGCTTTTAGGAAATCCTATACACTACTGTTTATGCTCTAAAAACATTCTAAATGACTTCGTTTCGAGTAAATTCTGGATGCTACCCACTCAGGACACTTGGAATACATTGGACGAGCAGTATGGAGGAATATTGACACATTTTTTGTGGACTTTTATGGACCTTTCTGTCTCGGGCACCATAGACCTCCATTATTTGAATGTCAGCAGACAGCAAGAAGCCTCCCAGATCTCCAGATGCATTTGAGATATCAAAAAAGTACTCCAGAGTGTTGTTCAGCATGGGGGTGAGTAGAAAATGAAGGCTAATCATGTTTTGGGTGTACTATTCCTTTAAACACTTCGCTAATTCTTCGTTTGGAATGTTTTGCAGATGCAAAATGATGCATGATGAGAGTAGCAGCCTTGCAAAAGAAAAGTCAGGGGTTTGATTTCAGTTTCCTCCTGCTGCAGGCGGATTAACCTGTGGGAAAGGCGCTTAATCCCAAGCAACCTACCGCTGTAGGAATGTAGCGTGCTGGAAACAATAGAAAAGTGCTTTTAAAATTCACCTCTTTTGTCAGTCCAAATGACTTAGGTAAAAATCCCAACATGTCTGTCCTAATTCATACACTTCAACAGGCAGTTTTACTAAATGCTGAGGAAACGTACATAATTTAAGAAATGAATACGGCCTTTTCTTTTTCATAATGTATCTCAATATTCAGGTTTCAATGTATTAAACCAAAAAAAAAAAAAACCTCACCCTCATGCCTCCTCTCTTGTCTCTGCGCATAGCTGCCTCTCTCGCTCTTTCTCTCTCTGCCTGCGTCCCCATCTGATTGCTTACGTTGGTTTCCTTGGGTATCACTCCTCTTCTACGGAGTTCAATCTGTAAAATGTGCAGATTTATCCGATTACTTCATGTGAAAACAAAATGGTTATGGGTCAAAACAAGGAAAGTTTGTCACCTTTGATGTCTCCTGTCCTGGGGTGAATATGGTGGGCACTGCGTCCTCCCTCAGGAACTGCTTTCCATTGTAATCCCTGAAGCAGTCGGTCCTGAAGTGCTCAGAACAGAGGCAGGTGTTGGCGGTTGGGATAAAGTTTTTCATCCCTAGGCTCTGGACCCATTTGGTGGCCAGTTGAGGTTTGCTAAGAGGGAATCTGACAAAAAGAGGAGATGTTATAAAGCAGGTGGTGGGATTTTGGACTGTTTCACTGTGGCTGAAACCTTTTTAAAACCTGTGAAAAGTGAACACTTTATGTTTGCTGCAATGGCGTAACGACACAACAATAGGCCCGTAAGCAACATATTTTGGGTGGGCCCCATATGAAGTACAACACCCCTTACCCGCGCCGCTGCCACCGTAGACAACCGACCTGAAATGTGCCCCATACATACACACTTCATCATTTCATCATTCTTCACCTTCACTAGACATGGATTTACTTCAGTACATTCTGCGATAAAATGAGTCTTATTGGGCTACCTTGAGTTTCACAGCCCTCCCATCTCACCCACGCTCTCTCCATTCATGTCCTGGTCGCAATCTTCACTCACTGTAGCAGCAAAGTCCACCTCTCTTTCTATGGTTCTTTGAAAGAATGTTTTTTTTTGGGAAGTTTTTTCCGTTTTTCCAGGAGCTCTTCTTTTCTTTTTCCTTTTCTGGAATCTGCTTAAGTACCTATTTTTGGTATCCATCGTCGCTAACACATTGTACATAACGGTTATGGTTTAATCTACGCTCTGGATTACCCATAATTCCAAGTTATATTGTAAAAAATAAAATACTCAAATACATCGTTCTTTTAAGAGCTTTATTGCGGTTTGAAACATATTATATTAGTGTATTTTTTACCAGCCGTCTAATGAACTCTACACAGTTAATAACATAGTAATTAAAAGTACCACTGTCTGCTTTGCTATTGATGTCGTGTTTAAACGGCTCACCATCATGTTGAAATCTGCCGTGTTTTGGGGTATAAATAAGGTCCGGTCAGTCAATCTAGCATCAGATGGGTTTAAAAGGAATTTTTGGTACCATTACATTTGCAAAGAGACGTCCTAGTCCACAATTGCGTAGGGGGCCTACCAGGTATCAGTGACGGGGCCCCTAAGAAGTCAGGGGCCCCTAAGCAACAGCAGTCTCTGCTTACCGATAATTACGAAATTGGTTTGCTGGTAATAGTCGGAAAGACTGTTCAAGCATATTATTTGGATGAAATTTCAATAATTAAAATAAATTAAACATTATTTTTTTAAAAAGACATCATACACTTATTGTCAAAAGGGTAACATGAAAGAAAGTTCACTTTACAAGATAATAATTTCACTCTTCCAACAGTTTTCTTAACATTACTGAAGGGCGTCTTTCAACAAAGGTAACACTTTCATTCAGAGCTGGAAGTTACGTTTCTGGGATATTGATCTGATGCGTTAAATATCAGGAGGTGTTAATCAGTGCTGTCTGATTTGGATTAATTTAAAAATAAAATCAGGTAAACTAGAAAGCAAAAATGAGACAGACCCCAAGACTGTTTGGTTTCATAGCTGGAAGCATCGATGTTTCCCCATCATTCTTATTTTAAGCTCTCTCAATAGTTTTATAATTGATGAAAGAATGTAGGTGGAGAAATTCAATTAAATTTAAAGCATAGTTGTTTAAGAAAAACTAGAGAACCTGAGATTTATTACACAAATAAGCATTTTTTTTTATTATATAATATAAAACCGTTTTTTAATATGGAAAAGTTAATATTAGGGATCTTTAGAAGTATTATTACTCAACTATTTAAAAAGCAACCTACTGTGTTGAGAACCGTGTCGTTACACTATTATTTATGTAATCAAGGACCTTTGCTTAAAAAAAATAAAAATAAAATAAAAACAAACAAACAAAGAAAAAACCTTTGCTCTAATTTCAAATTCTTAAACACACGTACGGTTAAAAAAAAAAAAAATAGACGGTTTTTCCATCGATTAAAACCTATTAAATGTGGGGAAACATGGTTTTCTGGAGCAAAAACCCCAAATACGTCCGACTCTATTATAACAATAGTAAACCTACCTGTAAAACCTTATCTCCGACCCCTTAACAAACTTGTTGTTGCACCCCGGTGCCGCACAAATCACCGGCATGCTGATGCGAGTTTTAGAGAACTATGCAAAAATGCGTAAATAAGCTCCAAACGTGCAGGAAAAAACAAATAAGAAAACAGTCGGACGACTGTTATCTTCCGTTTTTCCTCTTTTTCTGCTTAAACTTCCTGTTTGCTCTATATGAAGTCCGCCCTCTAGTGGCCGTTTGTGTGAATAACAGAAAAAAAGGATCACGCACACACACACTTTAAACCGTAGGAATAGTTTTCTATTTTACAAAATAACACCTGGTATTTACAATTGCAAGTTAAAGGTTTTACTTTTGTCATAAATGTAAAAAGTATTAAATAAAGACTCTAGATCATTGCTCTATGTTAGTATTACTGTATCCAACATCTAATTAATCTCTGTTAACGCTGCTCAAAGTTTGAATGTACAATAATGTGTATCATTGTTACTGTGCTATCTTATGTATTTTATTGCTTTTTTGTGTATTTTTTGAGTTACTACTCATCTTATGCACTATTTTATCCATAAAATATCCATCCATTTTGGCACAGTGACATTATTATAGATAGATAGATAGATAGATAGATAGATAGATAGATAGATAGATANAGATAGATAGATAGATAGATAGATAGATAGATAGATAGATAGATAGATAGATAGATAGATAGATAGATAGATAGATAGATAGATAATTATTAAAGCTTTTGATTAAGCTTCTGAGTTTATTTAAGCATTTAATTTTCTCAAGCATACTCTTGTTAAACCAAACGGATTCCTTTGAGACAAAACGCGGGGCAGCAAACGCCCACGTGCTCCGGGGCGTCAGTCACGTGACGTAGCTACGCTGGCTGTAATGCTAACGTGTTAGCTTGGCTTGTCAAAGCCGTAGTTAGGAATCACGTACATGACTTAATCTCCTAATTTAGTGACTAAACAACTCGTCTTTGATGCGCGAACTTTCTGGCAAGTACAGGGTTTTCTCTCTCGGCTTTTAATTAGTTTATTTGTAGGATTTGGAAGCAGAAATGTGCTCCGGTGTCCAAGTTAAACTTGTTTTTGTCCTTACGTGCATGTTTGTTGGCCTTGCCAAGTGGGTTGACGATCAAGCTAATCTCCCTTTAACAACCCAATTGCTGTTTCAATAATAATTGTAGGTAAAAAAGTCCACCTTTACCTCTTTTCTTTCCTAACGTTTGAATCTGAAGCAATGATAACCCACCTTTGGCTCGTCTGATATAACTAGCCAAAAGTCTATAACTAACTTGGCTAATATTAGCTGCGAATGTGGGGTGAAACTAAATCTAGTTCCAGCTCTGTCACTATAAAGCCTCTAACATATGACTCCACCGTTCAGATATGTCACTTTGCATGAAAACACACAGCATTATTGACCAAAGCCAATCAGGTAATCAGTATTTCCTCCTTTGTTTATCTGGAAACCTAAATCAGTGTGCCACCCACTTCCTCAGGCTTTTAGGGACTCTTTAGACAGATTTTATTTGTAATTTTGTTTACACAAGTGTAAAACAAAAAGAAATTTCGTTTGGAAACAGCTCACTGGGCAATTTCATCTTTTTAAAAGTGCATCCTTGAAAAATAGTAAAAAATGACTGTTAATTTACAGTTATAGTTTTTCTTTGTGACACACTTCAAAACTAGGGGTTAGTATTGGCATGGGTGTTTTGATACGATGCGTATCACGATAATTGGATCAGAATACCATATAATCGCAATATGTGTTGCTATATTTTCCCCAGCTGTCAAAATGAAATGTATAGATAAAAGACAGTGTACTGTATATGTTTATCAGATGATATTGATCATTTAATTATTTTGGTATCCATGTTGTTTGGGGTTTGAGTCAGTCCACGTCTTCCACTGTGACTGCCTGGATTACAGGTTTAGTGCTGTGCTGCACAGCGAAAGTTCTCCACGACCATCTGCCAGAGTGCTGAGCCCATTTTCCCTCATTGTTTTAGGTGAAAAAAATATAATTTTTTAAAAATCGGTTCTAGGAATTGAAAGATCGATATTGTATCAGGCTGGAAAAAATCACGATTTGTCGCAAAAACAATATTTTTCCCACACCTCTACTAAAAACGTTAGAAAAAAAACACATAAAAGTCACTTCAAAGTGCGGATAGTTCAGTTATCAGACATTACATTATTAATCACACTGTACTGTATGGCTGTTTTGTCCAGGAGGACCAACTGATGCAAACATATGACCTCTGTGACCATTTAGAAACTAGCTTCTACCCCACTGCTCTGTTATGATTGCTTTTTAACGATGTTCTTTTTAAATTATATTAATGAAAACGAGTGTTTGATGCAGTGTGGCTGAAATGTCAATAGTTTCAGACATTGCTCTTCTCCTGGGCATTCGCTGTAGGTGAGCAAAAGCAAAATAAGTCATTTTTTTGCTAGAGAGGATTAAGATATGTACTTTGGTAGACTCTGTCCAGGCTAAGAATAGGTAGAGTTATGCTAAAACATCCGAGTCATTTATTGTTCCTTAGTTCACGTTGAAACCTGTGCAAACTTACAGCCTAATAACCACAATATATCCTTCATTTCTAAACATTTAACCAGGGTTGTCAAGATGCTTATCTATACCCTTGATGATATTTGATACTTGATTATTGATGACATGGGGATAAAAATGGCCCCAAAACGTATTTAACATAAAAAACCTCACTTTTTTTCAATTTCAATATGGAACATTTTTTCTTAAAGAAAACTACCTACTCTAATAGTTATATAAAACGCACAATAAATAAAACTAGTGTTTTATAATATTCTTAGGTTGTTTGAGGTATTATTCTAAATAATGAAATAATCAAGAAATCTACAATTAATAGCAAATATATCCAAACACTTGGCATAAATACTATGCCAAGTTAGTTTTGTTTCTGGGTATAGTGAGTGTTTGAGTATCAATACTTATAGATTTGACAACCCTACAGTTAACACATTCTCAAGTAATGTGATGCCTTTTTAGAGGTCAGAATAAACAACCATAAGAATGAGCAAAGGATATATATGCAATCTGATGCTACAAGGATCAAATTTAGGTAATGGGATTTGCTGAGAAGAACTGATTTTACAATAGATGGGACCTTCTAAAGTGAACATATTTGGTGCCATGTTTGGCATGGTGTGTTTAACTAAAGAAAACATGGAAACCCTGATTTCTCCATAGAATAATGTTGAAATACTCCCAGACATAAGCTTCACGGCAGTAATATCTTCCTTATCCTTATGTAGTGGTTGTATGAAATGCTGGAGCCGTGTGCCAAAACCTGCTCAAAGGTTAAACGAATGTGATTTATGATTCAACGACTTTTTTGATTCACAATGAGAAATTAAAATCGATGCCAAGCCTCCTACTTCCTCCTATTAGTGATGCCTTTGTCAGTTTGATAAGCCGTGTTGGATGCACCTGTCTGTAAATCCAGTGTGGCTTGCATCTTTTTATCTGGTCCGCTTCTGCAATGACCCAGCATAGTTCTCTGCTCACAACCACCCAGTGTTAATCTTGCAGATGGGTCAGAAAAAGTCAAAATCTTCAGGGAGGATCTGCTAGCAGTAAATGAATCACTTCTTCTTCTGTTAGGGCGTGCATGAGAAGGCAGAATCCGAGTGGCGCCTGGGAATTCTGTAGATTACTGACCACTTTGTTTCGCCTCAGATTTTTGCAGAATGTGGGAAATTTTTATTTAGCTTTTTCAAGTAAAAGTTGCTTCTGTTGGTACTGTGTGAGGAAGCAATATTTCCCACCCAAAACTTTGCTGACTTTATCTTTGTATTGATGCCCCACTTGTTTTCTCTGGGGATTTTTACTAATTACTTTGTTAAACCAGTGCCCCACGGTTTAAATTTTAATACTTTCTAATGTAATATTATACAAGATTTTACTTGTAGATAAAGGGAGTTAATTTTTTTTGTTTCTTACCTATTTTAATATAAAGGTGTGGTTATCATATTAATACAAATTAAATGGAGGGAAAATAAGCAAAATATTGTGTGGAAAAAGCAACAGCAAAAAAGAAACGAAGGCAAAGACCTCAAACAATAATTCCTTATTTATTCTTTTTAAATAGGATTTATTTGAATTACAGTTTATTATTATAAATGCTCTGTGGAGCACATACCTGACACATATCAATCTTTTTCTTTTAGATAGCATTTCCTGTTTGTCACCAATGTCATTCCTTCAATTACAATAGAATTGCACTTTTTTTTGTACACCAATTTTTGCTTTAATTCTCAATGTTTCATTTGTGTTTGTAATGGCTGCAAAAATGAGCTCCAATCCCCTTCAAAAACTATAACAAAATAGCCTAACAAGCTTTTTTCCCCTTTTGGTGACCCTAAGTTTACTTTTCCTTTGTTTGTTTTTTTCTAAGATAAATAAAATCAGCAACATGATATTTAGAGGCACAACATGGATGCCCACTCTACAATAGTTCACTGTAGGGCAGACTGATGTCTGCCAAGGTGTCTGGAAAGATAAGAGCTTATCATGGGTTTTAAAACGGATGCTAACATACAGTCTTGATTTTTAATCTGTAATTTATGATTTTTTGATTTGATGAAATCAAACGGTTTTATTAAAACCAATGAATGATTTAATGGTGCCGATCAGGCACTACCACGAGGTTGATCAGGGAGGCATCGTTAATCTTTGTTGGTAGTTTCTCTTCCAGCAGTCTAGGACCAAAAGGCTCATGGTCAAAGGTGACTGACAGATAAGACGTTTGGTACATTGGACTTTACCGGTCAGATTAGGGTGAGGATAACAGGAGGAATTATGCAACACAGGGATATTTTACTAGCATGGAAAGTAAAATTCAGTCAATAAACCGTATCTCTAATTATTACACCTATAGAACTGATAAGAGCCAGTTTATCTACTTTCAAATGAATAAATTCAAAGTTAGGTTATATTCAGTCTTCTGTTATGTTTTCTTTTTGTTTATTTATTCATGAGTTCTTTCTTTTCACATTTTTATAGAGAGAACATTTGGAGAGGCGGTTTAGGTTTACCAAAACAAAATGCACTACCTAAATGCAGGAGAAGAAAATGATCAAAGCACTACAGTGTTTTTTAATATGTAAGAGTCAATGACCGACAGTAACCCCTGGTGTTCCCTTTTTTTCACCCCGTCTCCTCCCTCTCCGCTCTGTTTTCCCTCCCGTCTCCCATAGGGTATTGTAGAAAGGCACTTCTGCCCTACTTGGTCTCTTCCAGATATCAAGCCATTAAAACCTCAGCACAATAAGTCACTGGGCTGTTGGCATCTCATAAGGCTCAGCAGGGAAAGCCGGTCCTCCATCAGCGCAGAGGTATCGACAGACTCAAGCTGTGGACTGGCATGGGCGAGATGGATAGGCAGTAATTAGGACCTCCACTTCAGAGGTAAGTCAGCCCTGCATCTCACCTGCCTCACGCTTGCTGCTGCAGATATTGGAGTCTGTTTTTTTTTGTTTGGGGGGTTTTGAAGAGGCATTAAAAGAAAGAAACAAACACCAACATCATAAATTTCATGCCTGCCTCCTGATAATGACCCTGATGATTTATTGTCTTCTAAAAAAGCTTTTATATTTGGTCTGTCAGGATTTGATAGATTACTTTCATCATCAGGTTTGCAGCACCTCCCTGGATTTAATTTTTTTTTTTAGCAGTTTTCTAGTCAACACAAAAGAACTGAACACATTTATTGCATTCATCTATTATTTATTCACTCTGTAAGTCAGTGGTGTCAAACGTTTTCACCAAGTAAAAGGTACTCATGGGCCAAAAACATCTCCAACTTTATGTCAGAATGAATATTACAAAAATATGATGTTGTAAATATTACTATTTTTAGCTTTGTAACAATAGAATAAACATCCATTATTTTATTATTATTAGTATCTCACCTACTTGACATCCAATACTTGATGTAGTGATGTTATTGTTGTTAAAGGGAATGTAAATCATTCTACATTCAAATCTTAAAAGGTGTTTTATATGTTTGCCCTGTTAGAATAAAGGCTGATTATTTTTGGCTTAGTTGAAAATGTAGAAATGAAGATTTAAGTCTTTTGTTAGCAATAATAATGTAGTATGGGTCGCTCTCTGCTTTAAAAAACTTGTTATATGATGCCAAATTTTACCGATTAATTGAAAGCAAATTTAGATGAACCAGAGTCTTATTAAAAGTTATAATAACTTTGGAGTAAATATTTGATTGATTAATTAAGAATTCATAATTGGTTAGCAAAAACAAAATAATCCAAAAAAACACAGTGATGGTTTAAGTTGAGCTTGAGCTTTATATTAATGATGCTTTGATCTGGCCTCTATATCATTATATTTGATATAGTGTTATAATAGAAACTGCGGTTAAATTATTTAAAATATGCTGCACATGGTTGGAAAGAGATAAAATGGTAAAAAATAGCTAATTGGTGACTAAATCTGTACTTAATATGGACTGGATGAAGAATATCGGGTCATTTTTATACTCCATGCTGTCCCTGCATATATCAAAAGGTGATTCAGATATTTGAATCCCAGCCGACAGAAAAGCCTGTTTGCTTGTTGTTGTTTTTTTTCTTAGCTGTGACTCAGTTTGTGGTTTGTTTAGCTCTCTTGGCTCCTGCCCATATTCCCTCTTTCATTGCTGTTAAAGAGGTGATATGAACCAAGAACTACGGCAAATAACCAGTTCCATTAAATGGTTCGTATTTATAATGTTTACCAGTATGATCCTATGCAACCAAAAGCGGAAGAAGGTTGATTTAGGCCCCTCATTGGTCAGGTTTTTCAGATTAGAGGGAAGACAGAAGCATCAGCTCCCAGTAAAACATATGACTCTATCTTTAGTCAGGCAGACTTAATAAACATCTTATAAAATGATCATATCATTAATCTGTTTAGCTGGCCTTGTTTATTTTTAGCAAACACACTGGATAATTTAATGTTTTTTGTTAATTGTTTTTCTAAGTTTTCTTCTGTCCTGTCGTCCGGCTAAGAATAGCCTCACTTTATGCTGGTTTGTCTGCTGAATCAGTTTCCTGAAATATATCACCCCCCACAGCACATGACGTACTCTCATTTCTGCTTTTACACCCATTTGGCTTTTTGTTTTACACACTTTGGTATCGTTAAAGGTTGTTCGATCCAATTACTCACACATTTCAAATCTTTCTAAGAACCTCACATTGCTGCTTAAGATTATCTTAAATGTCCAAAGATTTCATGCTGTGGACTCATCCCTGCTCTGAATGACATCACATTCATTCATTCATTTACTTCTACCCTTCAATCTGCCTGATATTAGCCAGAAAAAATAATATCTGAATGGATCAACCTGCATCTAAAGTCTTTGATATAAGTAAGCTGATGGAAACTCTTCATTTTTATCTGCTTCTGTTTAAAGTTTTAGCACCTTAAGTTTGTTTTTTTATACCAGTTGCTGTTGGCTATGTTTTCTGTTTGATTAATAGCACTTAACGAAGCATTTTCAAATATTCTTCACTATAAGATGAGTATTAAAAGTATGTATGACTCGAGCGGAAATCGCATTGAGTCAACGTCGTTATTCATCAGTGCTTAAAGCTTCACTCTCAATATCATATTGGAAGTGAAAGTGAATTAGGACATTCCCTAATTGTTTGTCTTGCAAAGTATTAAAGCCCTTTTATTTATTTTTTATATATTACAACACAGAACAGCCATGAAATAAAAAATAACTCATATTTGAGGAAGGAAAATTACATGTGTTTAGTTAAATCTGCAGGTACGTCTCATGAAATTAAAATACGAAAAAGGATTTAAAAATATCAACGATTTCAGAGCATGAAATGAAATGCATTTATTACACATAGTGTGAAATATTTCCAACATTTATTTTTATTTCTGTCATCCTAGTGAAATTTGATTACAGGTTTAATATTAATGAATCTAAAGTTAACATAAACATACATAAAAGTTAACATAAACATAAAACAAGTTTAAACATCTAAACTGTGTTAAATACTGAATAAAAAATGCTACACATTATTAAACATATAAGGTATAACAAACAGGAACCAATTAGATTACTGAATAAGGAATCAGTAGATACTAACTGTGACCTAGTTCTCTGTTTTTAGTGTCATTCAGCATTAAGTGCTGGGAAAGACTTTATGCTGTCAGCTTGACTTTGAACAGGTGGTTCTGGTTGATCTCAGAGGAAATTTAAATCTGTTTTTTTTTTTTAAAGCTTCTTAAATTAATTCCCCACTTTTAAATCACAGTATCTTCCACTTCTGAGCACAGCAGAGAAGTTGCTGCTGCGCCTCCATGCAGCACGGTTAAATGGATGCTATTTAGATGATAACTTAAGGAATTTATCGAGCATTTATATTAATAAACAGAACTGTGTAAAAGTTAATTCTGCATTCTTGTTACCATTAAACGGTGTAAATAATCTGGACTGGACATGTTTCCGCTCTGACATTAGTTTGCATACAAATGACAGCAGATACCAGTGACACCTAGACAATTAATTGTAAGTCGATCATTTCGCCCCTAGTTACAGGTAACAACAACCCAGAATTCACCAGGAGGTCAATAAATATATATATATATAGAATATAAAATAAATCTCAGGTTTCTAAAAATTATGTCAATGTCCATGTTATTAATGGTTGGTTCTGTTTTTTGCTTTAGTAGTGCATCAATCCATCTTGGCAATCTTAATTGTACTTTTTTTAAATAAAATGTTATGGGGTAAGCCGACTAAAATTCTAGACTCTAGTGACTTTTTAAACTTTGTGCCTCTCTTTGACTCTGGTTTCCATATGAAATTCAGCTTTACTTTAATCTGAAAAGAGGACTTTGGACGGCTGAGCAAGAGTCCAGTTTCCCTTTAGGGTTGGTTCGGTACCAGGAATGCTACATGTTAGCCTGTGTGGTTTTTTTTGTGAGGCTCCTACAGGGAGCCTCCTTTTTTAACTTCCTCAAATTCTTTAAGATTTGCTGAGGTAATCCCCTGTGGCTGGGGCACCTTTTCCTACTACGCCTTTTCTTCCACTTAACTTTCTGTGAATATACTTGGATGGAGCCTTCCATGTAACCAGCTTCTTCAGCAATTACCTTTTGCTGAGACATTATTCAGGGTCCCAGAAAACCTTTGCAGGTGTTTTGATTTTAATTGATAATTGGGGTTTGACACCATAAGCTTCCCATATTTAAGTTTTTCAGTCTTCTAATTTTCTGAAAGACTGAATTTATTATCTGTAGGCCATAATTGTTTCACTTACGATAAATTTGCTATATATAAATATTTCCCCCAATTTATAATCAATCTGTATAACACACCTTTCATTTTCTAAAATGCCTAGAAGTTTTAAACTTTTTCACTGAATCTTTTTTTTTAGATTTTACAGAATCCACCTACATTTATACAGACAGATTTATTTATTCATTTTGTCATTTAGTATGCACAAGTGTAAACAAAAATAAATTTTGTTAAGAACAGCTCTCTAGACAATTTAATTTTTTTAAAGCGCAGCCATGAAAACAGTAAAAAAAAAAAATTTAAACAGTAATATAAACATATGACTGTATATTTACATTTACATTTTGTTTCTTTTCATACATTAAGAAGGGTCTAACTTAGTAAGCTGATTCTGTACATGTATGCAATTTATTCTTGATGTCAATTAACGCTACATGATTTTTGAGAAAAAATATTTGATTGTGATCGCATTGCTTAAAATAAAGCTTTATGTCTTATATTGCTGCAAATCTGTCTGGAGTTCTAGGTCATCAGTCACATATTTTAAATGTATGGTGCTACGCGTGTTTACCTTTTGGAAGAGATTTCTATTGCATCTTATGGTATTTAAAAAGGTCGATAAGTTAAAGTATAAATAAACTAGTCGCTGTTGAGAAGATGAATGTATGTAAATACAGATCAGGCTTTAAAGAAAACCTGGAGGCTGCAAAAAACTAAATAAATAAAATTACACCGGAGTTTAGGTTTTCTTTCCAGCCGGACAATTAATTTTAGACCGCCAGCCAGAGCCTCACATATCTGTACCGAATTTAAGAATTTCAACAGATGTTTAGATTAAATGGTGAAATCTGAAGAATGGGCAAAATAGTCAATTAGTTTGAAACATTACCTTAAAAAATTTAGCTCTAAATCCAATAAAAAATGTTACTGGCTACAGAAATATATATAAACCATGTATAGTTTTCCTTTTCATTGATTTACATTTTTGTTGTTAGAAAGAAAATACAATAAAGATCGTGGATTTGACAAACCTTTCAAAGGTTCAAAATAAATGTATGCTTTGCAAGGGAGTCTCTGCTGTTTGAACCTTACCTTCATTTTCCTTTTTCTTCACAGGTAGAAGTTGATTTCGGAATGACAAGCTGCTGTGCAGAAGATGTCCACGCTGTCTGTGACTGATATCCCAGATGTTGGTCATGGTAAGACCAAGAGCTATTCCTGAGATATGGTTTAAAAGTCGCACTTGATAAAAATAGAAAGACTAAAACATTTTTTCAGTTTTACGCTGAAAGGTTAATTACATGCTCTCTTCTCCCACAATTTTAAACAACAACTTGCAAGGGGGGAAAAAACACATTTTTGGCTGCATAGTCTACATTTTCATTTACAAGTCTACTACAAATGAGCATCTGTATTAAAAGAGTAATAGCCATAAAGTTACTGCTGATTCCGTTAAATCTTCGTCATGTTCTCTGAGAATAAATATTTGCTTTGGACACCTGTTAAAACAGATAAGATAAGTGGAAGCTGTCCTGGACAATGAGTCTTTGAGTTGAATGAGTTTGTTTCTCTTCTTTCAGATGAGAGTAAGGTGTTTGACAGGGCCTCTGAGCTGCAGCTGGACTGCCTGGCTGAGGAGAGCATCGGAAACACCACAATGAAGACAGAAGGCCTGCTGTCCCTGACCGACCTCTCCCAGCCGGGGCACGTCCCTGTTCCCCCCCGCAACGGCCCGTCGCTCACAGACATGAGCAGCTCTTTGCCGGTAGAGCAAAACGACATTAAACTGGATCCATCTGCAGCTGATGCGTCTGGTAGCGTAGGTGAGCAGAAAATAGTAAAAGTAAAGAGTCTTTCCTTTTTTTTTTTTTAGTAAACACTGATTCATTGCAATTGCAGCTCGGTTTTTTTTTTGTTTTTTTTTTGTACTGGGGAAGTTATCAATTATGGCGAGAGTCCATAATACCTGTTGTAATATTTCTCTCCTAAATTCTGCTAATTGTTATGGGTCCCTTTATAATCTCAAAAATGTTTTTTTATTTGGCGCATTAGTTCTGTTACGTAAGGCATTTTGATCCATCTTCTGCTGCTTGGTGTCCAGATTCCTCTATGGATTGTTTATTCACACATGCTCTACACAGCAGGAGGACTCGCTGTATGACGTTCAGCAGGTCGGCCCGGGTTGAACACAAAGGAGGCGGGCCATGATGCAAAAACTATGCTGCAGTAACTGCTGGGTTTTTGTTTGTAGCAATACTTGGGTGGTGGCACCGACAACCTTGTTCTGCCTGTTTGTTTTTTGGGTAACAAAGGATTGGTGCAAAGGAAATGGAAATAAACAAATTAGACTATGTTTTGTTTTTTATAAAAATCAAACTCATGCTTAGGGAGTCGGTGATCTCCTTACTGGGAGATCCCACGTCTGAAGTTGGAGTTTCACAAGCAGAACTGACTGGACTTTAAGCAGCTTTAATTTTCTTCTGATTCATCACCTTAATTCTCCCTTTCTAATTAAAAAAATATCAGCGCCCTTAAAGTTCCAGCATATTCACCATAGACTTATGTTTAAAAGCGGACAATACCATGAAAAAGTTCATAAGCTGAGCGGTTGTAGCACTATTCCCCTTTAGCAACAATGGCGTAGTTTAAAATCCTGGCCTGACATGTGGCTGTGTGGTACTCCGGCTTCCTTCCACAGCTCAAAAACAGGACAACTAGGTTAAATAATCGCTGTAAATTACCCTCAAGTATGAGTATTTAGGTGTGCATGGCTGTGTTTCTCTTTGTTACCCTGTGATGGCGCCCTGTCCAGGGTGCACCCTGTTTTTCAACCATAGACCACTAAGATGGGGAGCAGTTCCCATGACCCTTGCTTACAAGCTACAGAAGATGACAGATGAGTTCAATAATGCCTCGTATTTCAGACAGTTCAACTTATGTGTTACATAGACTCGTTTCACAAATCCTAAAATATGTAAAAGCTTTTATTAGTTAGGTTTTTGTGATTATGGCAGAAAAGTAGGACAGTGTTGAAAAATATCAAATTGGGAACTTGTGGGTCGTGTTCACGAAGGTAAGGCTCTTTAGAACTAGTGGAAACGCTCACATCTGGCCCAAATCTGAGTCCGAAGTGGAAAGAACCAAGGTGGATTTGATGCTACTTTGACGTCCTCACTTCTGTGGCGTTACCATTTCAGAGATGTAGTGCCGTTCAGCTCCACCAGTCGGTGTAGTCTCACCGCAAGCATCTGCTTAAATGTGTAAAATTGATCTTTAAAAAGTTTCAATATGTGGTAAAATATTTGTGCTGCGTTCTTACGTGACACAGATAATCTGTGGAAAGAAAAATCAAGCTCCTCGGCAACAATCAGGAAAAGGGTTTTAGCGACTCTTTGATACGGTGCAGGAACCAGCAGCGTTTGCTTCTCAGCAAGTTAAGGTTTCGTAACATGATTTATTTGAATGCAACCTGCATTTGACTTCAAATTTTTCTTTTTTCTTGTCATTATTTGATATTGGCAGTTTTTATGATGTATATGAAAGCAATTATATTTGTTTAACTGTTTGTTTGTTCTGCCTCGGCAGATGGCTGCTCACACTGAGCCTGGTTCTGTTGGAGGTTTCTTCCTGTTAAAAGGGAGTTTTTCCTCTCCACTGTCGCTACAAGCATGCTTAGTGTGAGGAATTGCCTTCGAGTCAATGAGTCGATGCAATCAACTGGTTTCCTTAGATAGAAAACTTTGAATCAATTTGACTGGATGATCTGGTGAACTATAAAATGCCATGTGTTGTGAATTGGCGCTATATATATATAAACTGAATTTAATTGAATTATTTTGTGTGTAGATGGGCAGCCAGTGAAGAGAAAAAAGGGCCCAGCTCCGAAGATGCTGGGCAATGAGGTTTGCAGCGTCTGTGGCGATAAGGCATCTGGTTTCCACTACAACGTGTTGAGCTGCGAAGGCTGCAAGGGATTCTTCCGCCGCAGCGTCATCAAAAGTGCCCAATACTCCTGCAAGAACAACGGCCGCTGTGAAATGGATATGTACATGCGCCGCAAGTGCCAGCAGTGCCGGCTACGCAAGTGTCGGGAAGCAGGCATGTTGGAGCAATGTGAGTGTTTGTTTATCGCATCACTTCAAGCTTTTCAATTGCTGCTGTACAAATCTGGGATTTATTTTTTTTCACACTGGGATGTTGTGACAAACTGCATCTTCTTTGGCTTGTAGGTGTGCTTTCTGAAGAGCAGATCAGATTAAAAAAGCTAAAAAAGCAGCAGGAGGAGGAAACGGCGCGTACGTCCACAGTGGTCACACCAACCCCTCCACAGGAAGCTGCCATGCTCGATCCACAGCAGCAGGAGATGATCGAGAAGCTGGTGGCTATGCAAAAACAATGCAACAAGAGGTCTTTCCTTGACCGACCAAAGGTTACAGTAAGTGGAGACTACATGGCTGAACCAATTTTTCTCAAATGCTGCTTCTTGTTTGACCTAATTTTAACTTGTATATGTTAACAGCCTTGGCCACAGAGTCAAGACCTGCAGAATCGGGAGGTGCGACAGCAGCGGTTTGCCCACTTTACAGAGTTGGCAATAATGTCGGTTCAGGAGATTGTGGATTTCGCAAAACAGCTTCCAGGTTTCCTTGAGCTGACAAGAGAAGACCAGATTGCTCTATTAAAAACGTCGACCATTGAGGTTTGCGTTGATTCTATCATCATTTAAAGTGCCTTTAAATTAACTTTAACAATAAAGCACTACTTAAAACATGTTTATCAGTACAGTACCTTTTCTGGTTTGTCTTTTCATTAATCGATGTTGGACGCAGATCAATTTGTGCCAGAATCTTACTCTCTGCCATGTTAGTCATTCACTCTGTTCTTTTTTTTCTCCAGATCATGCTGCTGGAGACGTCCCGGCGATACAACCCTGCCATTGAAAGCATCACTTTTCTGAAGGATTTTAGCTATAATAAGGACGATTTTGCAAAAGCAGGTATTCATACAATCAAACCTTTATCAAACTTTTGTTACACAAGCATAAACTAGAGTATAGCATACAGGGATGACAAAGTATTTTAAGTATTTTGTTATTAATACACTTTTACGCTTTCTCCCTATATCCTCCTTTTATCTCTTTTTCTTTCCCCTCAGGGCTTCAGTTTGAGTTCATTAACCCCATCTTTGAGTTTTCAAAAGGAATGAACGACCTGCACCTTGATGAGGCCGAATATGCTCTGCTCATTGCGATCAACATCTTTTCTGCAGGTCAGAATGAATAAACTGCAGAGCCTGCAGTTCATCATCCATATATAGAGCTCAGAGTGAGCCAATTGCTTTCAAATCCCCAAGGATAAAACAAATCATTTCACTTTGCATCGTGAACCACATTTATCACATCTTCAAATTAAAAATTCTCCAGTGAGAGATTTAACTTGCCTACTTTGGTTTGTTAATTTATGGACAGATCGGCCAAATGTGCAGGATCACGATCTGGTTGAGAGGCTGCAACAGCCCTATGTGGACGCTCTACGCTCTTACATCATGATCAAGAGACCAAATGTAAGTCCCCTCTGCTTTATTTAACCTCTACTTTGTGACCAAGAGCATGTCAGGTCAGCCTGGTTGTCGTCATCACAACAGCACATTAGGTCAGATCGGAGGTTACAGTGGGGCCAAAAAGTATTTAGTCAGCCTCTGATTGTGCAAGTTCTCCCACTTAGAATAATGAGAGAGGTCTGTATTTTCAATAAAGGTACACTTCAACTATGAGAGACAAAATGAGAAAGAAAATCCAGGAAATCACATTTTAGGAGTTTTAAAGAATTTATTTGTAAATTATGGTGGAAAATAAGTATTTGGTCACCCACAAACCAGCAAGATTTCTGGCTGTAACAGACCTGTAACTTCTTCTGTCCTCCACTTGTAATCTGTATTATTGACAACTGTTTGAACCCATTATCTGTATAGAAGACACCTGTCCACAGCCTCAGACAGTCACAATCGAAACTCAACCATGGCCAAGAGCTGTCAAAGGACACCAGGAGAAAAATTGTAGACCTGCACCGGGCTGGGATGAGTGAATCTACAATAGGCAAGAGGCTTGATGTGAAAACATCAACTCTAGGTGCAATTGTAAGAAAATGCAAGACATAAAAGACCACTGATAATCTCCCTCGACCTGGGGTTTCACACAAGATCTCATCCCATGAGATTAAAATGATCATGAGAACGGTGAGCGAAAAAATCCCAGAACTACACGGAGGGACCTGATGATTGACCCGCAGAGAGCTGGGAACAAAGTAAACAAAGGCTACCATAAGTGACGCACTAAACCGAGAGGGACTCAAATCCTGCAGTGCGAGATGTGTCCCTCCCGTTTAAGCCAGTACATGTCCAGGCCAGCATGAAGTTTGCCAGAGAACATATGGATTATCCAGAAGAGGATTGGGAGAATATCATGTGGTCAGAAAAAAACAAAATAGAACTTTTTGGTAAAAACCCAACTCGTGTTTGGAGGAAGAAGAATGCAGAGTGGCATCTCAAGAACACCATACCTACAGTGAAGCATGGGAGAGGAAACATCATGCTTTGGGGTGGTTTTTGTGTAAAGGGGACAGGAAAATTGATCTGTGTTGAGAGAAGAATGAACAGGGCCATGTATCGTGAGATTTTAAGCCAAACCCTCCTTTACCTATCCATCATTTGACACATTTTGCTGTATCCACATGGAGACACCCATTTCTCTCCCTGAAGAGACCTCTGTGGTTTATCATCTGTTTCCAGAGACAGAAATGATGTGTCTTGATGTCCGGTTGGCTGACGTTCGCTAACCTTGGTCCACATTTGGGGGTTTGAGAGATTTCAAGAAATAAACTAACGGACTGCGTAGTTTAGGGTCTCACAAGCTTTTACATTTGATAAAAATAGATTTTTATTCCTCTATTGTTTTGATGAATTAATACTTTCACTGCTGTCTGCTCCATGTAACCTTTTAATCCTGTACTGTCCCAGTCAGATCATCATTAGTAAAGTTGATATCCATCCCACAGGAATTTCGCTGGAATCACCTGATCCATGACAATCCGGGAAAAAAAATTCATTTTCTAAAACATATGTACTTTAATTGTGCTACTTGAACACTTTACATCAGTGAACCCTGCAGTAGTTCTTTGAACACTTGCAGCATGATCTAAAGGCCGCTACGACAGACATAAGAAGCGAGAAAATGGTTTTATTTCCTCTAGGTGGCAAGAGTAAGAAGAGTTTTGTTTTCAAACTTCTCATGAAGCGCAGCTATCAACTCCCTATAACTCCCTTCCATGGAAGTTTACTTCACACCTGCCAAAGAAAACAGTCGTAAAGGGGGCATTTTTTGGTTTTGGATTTGACAAAAAGGAGGAGAGCGAACTGCCTTACATGACTTAGAAAAGGTATCATACAAGTCTTCAGTTTTTCTTTCCCTGCCTCTGCCAGCAGGGCCTTAAACTGTCCTTTGCATAAAATAACACTGTAGGGATTCCTGCAACTTAAACACCGGGGGGGAATTTTGTAATTTAAAAACCGAAGAGGAAAATCATCTCTTTTTCTACTTAATGGACATCTGAATCCTTAACACATCTTTTCCCGGAAAGGCTGAGAGGAAAAAAGTTATACCCAGACGAGTCAACAAAAAGGAGCAAGAACCCCAAAGACAGGGCTGTGAGAATAAAGTTTATTAATTGTTTTTACGGCTGTAAGAATCCAGCACAGAAATTAAGCGGCCAAAATATTATTTAAAGGACAAGGTCTGTCCTTAACCCTCCTGATAGTTTTCTCATAACTACTCTGTTGACACCAAAATTCACCTCATGCCACTTCTGCACACATTCCATATATGTACTGCCATATAACCAGACAGCTGCTGAAGTTACTTCCTCCTCTGTTTGCCTCAGGCAGCTGATAGAATGGCTAAAGCCATGAAGGGTCGAATAAAAAGGCTTGGATTTGATTAAAGAAAATTGCACCCAATGTTTACTCTAGCTAGAGTAGTCTGTTCTGTTTGTGTTATTCTATTCTGCTATAACCATACTGTAGTTAAATATCCTGGATAACAGATCTGAATAAGGTCTGTGCAAAGTCTCCTTTGCTAATATTAAGTTATTATTTTTCTCTTATTTCCCAAGGATCACCTGATGTTCCCCCGTATGCTAATGAAACTGGTGAGCCTTCGCACATTGAGTAGCGTCCACTCGGAGCAAGTTTTTGCCCTTCGCCTCCAGGACAAGAAGCTTCCGCCGCTGCTGTCTGAAATCTGGGATGTTAACGAGTGACTGCATTCCTGATGTCGCACTCCATGGCTTTATGGACCCTGTAAGGGGCACAGCTCCTATGAAATGATCACCAACTCCTTTCTTCTGTTGTGGCCAGGGACTGATTATTGCCTTGAGATTTTATTTTGTTTTTCCTTAAGGAAGGAGAGCATTCTACCCCGTTGCTACCTTTAAAGACTGTTGAATGGCTTTGTGTGCAGTAGAGGAAATGTGCACACAAAGATCCTAGATTTTAGATGCTCATTGATTGTGGTTAAGTTTAGGCATTAAGGGTTTTCAGTCAGTTTTCATTGATTCAATTTTGCTGACAGTAATGACAGTCTCTTGCGTGGATCTTTACCGTTCCTCAACTAATTCCGATCAGGAAGCACTGAGCAGGTCTTGGCTGTTACCGTCTTAAAATTGCAATGTCTCTAAGTGAAAAAAAAGTGATTTCTACACTTGTGCAATAGATTGAAATTAAGGCAGAGATATTTTTCTGCCTATAATTTATCCTGATTGGTGTTGGTAACAATTAGGTTGTTTTTCCCTTATATCAAATTCAAGGGTCTGGGGTTTGGGGCCATTGCTCAGGTAATGTGAAGTAGACCTCTAAGTAGTGGAGGCTTCTTTAAATTCAATTATATACGTTTTTCTTTATTAATAAAAAGGGGGACCTGTTTGGTTATTAATTAATGCCCATTAACCTTTGTGAAAGATGTACATTAAAGTATCCATATGAATGTACCATCATCTAATAACGCACAATACCCAAAACTTATCCAACAGGTGTCATGGAAGCGCCCATTTTGATCTAACTAATGCTTTTAAATTAATGTTTCAGTGGTCTAGTAAGTGGACTAAAAATTTACCCCTTTTTTTGTTTACCTTTTCTTTGTATTAGACTCCAGTCTCATTAAAAGTCACTCAATGAGAATCTGATTTAATGTGTGTGAAATGTGCTAATATGTGATTTGTTTTTTTTTTTGTTTTTTGTTTTTTACATTTGAAATACCATAAATTTACGAAGATGTGAAATTTTAACTATTGCTTTTTTTAGCGTTATACTTAAAAAGAGAATGTAGTTTTGAGATAACTTGATCTAATGGTCCGTTCTTTAAAGCATTCTTAAATTTGATACCAACAGCCAGGCCAGGTCTGGTTCTAGTTCTCCCTTACTAAAAGGCACCAACATTTAACATAGACATTAGAACAGGGTTGCACCAAAGTGTGCCCTGGGGAAGGCATTTGCAGCGCCTTTTGTTTCATTTTGTTTTTTTCTGTGCAGCCAATAACTCCAGCAAAGATACAAATCTTTTATATTTTTAATTAAGCTTTTGCAAAAAATAGAAGCCTTTGTTGAAAAGCAGTGACTCAAATCAGGTTCTTCTTACTGAGGATAAAATTTTTTTGTTGTTTTTTTTGTTTTTTTCTTTTTTTTTTTAAACAAGGCCAGAATAATTTGCAAATGGATACCTTTCTTTTATTAAAGCAAACATGCAAAGCCCTTTTTACATTTTGTAGGAAAGCAATGATTGAAACATTTCATTCCCACAAAATCTGACCAATGTGAATTATCTAAATAATATTTTGCACATTTGATTTGTTAATGAGGTAAAAAAAAAATATATATATATATATATTATTTTTTTTTTTTTCATTTTTTTTTTTTCCCCAGAGTAATTTTCAGTTGAAGCATTTAAGTTGCATTCAATCCCCCAGCTGTTGGAGTTCAGATGTTTTCACTGAATTTCTTGCTGTGTGAAGATGGAGTTGAATAAAAACATGAGCAAAAAATGGGTTTATATTTTCAGGGTCTGGGTTATTTTCCCTCTTCAGGTGTTTTTTGTTGCATTGGTAATTTGAAAATCCCTAAAAGCCTATTCATAAACTGACTTTTTTTTTTATGTGCAGACTTGGTCAGGAAGAGCCTACATATAAAACCGCAAGTCGGTTTGTTCTGGTATTTTTCCAACCACATGTTGGTTTTGGTCTTCTGCTTTCTTCATCAAAATTTAACTCTCCATATTTGTGTCATTGTTTTACAACAATACAAATTTTTGAGAATTAGATTTTGCTAAAAGAAGCCAATTTTTAAGAGTGCAAGCAGGGTTCTTTTGGTTTAAACATCAGTTTGTTTACCTTTGCAATGGAAATGTGAGGTTGGTTCTTAACGTTTGGGTTTAACGCTGACAGCCAAACACTAACTTCTGGGTAACGGTGACTCATCCAGGTTGCTCCTATCAGAAATCCCACCCACTGACTGAGGGAGAGAAGCTGAAACTGAACTATCATGCCTCAGTGTGCTGTGGTGTATTGAACTCCAAGAGGTTTTTGTGTGCAAATACATTTTAATGCTGTAAGTATCAAAGTTAATTTTACTGTATATACTGTAATCGTAACATTTGATCTAATTCCTGTCTTCAGAGGGTGACTGTAAACATTGATATATAGAAAAAGCAAAACTATTTTAATACTTGTAACTTCTAAAGAAACCCCCTGTTTTGTATGTACAGTATAAATTAAAGTTCTGCTGTAGTGCTATGTATTGGTCGTAATCATTGGTTTGTCAAACTTTCTGTTTCTGGACTTTGAAATGAATTTACCTTTGCTGCAGTTAAAAAAATGGGAAGTGGAAATCTGCAGCAGGGTGGTGGTTTGGATGCTGCAATAACTTTCATAGAACTATGCCCCTTTTACAACATTTCTCTTTTCAGTTTCAGCCTTCTGTCTTTCCTAGCCCTCATCTGCAATTAATTATTCAAAATATTAGAAAGAGTCAGCAGTCCTGAAGGATTTATTTATTTATTTTTTATGTTTGCTTATCTGCCACCTTTTGGTAAAGCCAGTGTTTACAGGATTTTTTAAGGTGAAGAACAACTAAATTTTACATCTCTGAAAGTTTGACTAACAGCGATACAGAGGAAGCTGTAGGATGTTTTGTTTAGTTCTGGTTGCAATCTACATGTTTCAACAGTTGCCTGAATTCTCCACACATTTGAAAAAATGAGCTTGGATGCAAGAATGCTTCCAAGGAAAAGCAATAGATCTGGTCAAAAACTTGTCGAAGAATATGTTGTAGTCAGAAAAAGAACAAACCCAAACTTTAAAGTCATAATTAGAAAAAATAAAATAAATATATACACTCACCGGCCACTTTATTAGGTACACCTGTCCAACTGCTCGTTAACACTTAATTTCTAAGCAGCCAATCACATGGCGGCAACTCAGTGCGTTTAGACATGTAGACATGGTCAAGACAATCTCCTGCAGTTCAAACCGAGCATCAGTATGGGGAAGAAAGGTGATTTGAGTGACTTTGAACG